GTAACGGCTAATAATAAAGGCTAATAATATGGGCCTAGTACTTCTGAATTATTTCTCTGACATATCCCTAGCCTACGTCTCCTGAGCCTTGATCCTTCGGTTTGTGTTAACCCTTAATAAGTGGGTCAATTAATAAATTAAACATTGGTCTCAGTAACCATTTGTGGGCATGGTGAGGACAGTGTCTCTAGTCTCAACTTGGAGACTGGGTCCAGCAGCCATTGATATTCTGTGTGAGGAGAGAGCCGTGTGTGTCCTGGGTCTGTTTCAAAGGCCCCTCCACACTGGGGGGAAGAAGCATCCTGACTGCAGGTAGTCTCTATGACATCAGCTTGCGACATAATGACTAACAACAACCCTTTTCTTATAAACAAATATTTGCTACTTGCTTGCTCTTAATTTTGAAGAAAAACAACAGATCCCTAGCATCACTAACTGAACAAACTTGACACAAAACACCTCTTGAACTTCCCTCAAGAGGATACCTTCAACTAAATGCACACAATGTCACCATTATACTGGAACTGATTTGTCATTCATTGTATTCACATGAGTCTGTTCTTAACTGCTGGATCTGGAATGGAACCAGGATATGAAAGAATGCCCAGGGTGTATAGAGTAATTGTGATACTGCTCTTTAAGAGTTCAACTAAGTCAGCATTTCAGTCTAGTATCCATGAGATATCATAATATACCTTCAACTAAACAGGAATTATCTTCCCTCAAATGGTACACTGCTCAGATACTTCAAGAAGCGATTAAATTTAATGTTACATGCACTCCCCCCACCACAAATGGATTCTAAAGTGTTCTTCATGGTAGAAAACAAGTAACATGATTTCCTAATGTTTCATCCACCTAGAAATTATTATAGAAATAGAATATATATAGATATATATATTATATAGAATATAATAGAAATCCCCTTTACTTAGCATCACCTCTTCTTGATAAAAGCTTCAGAGATCAACAGTCTTATGAGACCAATTGTATTGCTAAGCCTCAAATAGAATTTATGGGAAGTGAACAATGTATCACAAGTGAAGTTGCATTAAAAATCACTCCAATAACAAGTAGGTTTCATGTATGATTTATCTGGACCCTTACTGAAACTGGAGCAAAGCCAACACTGACCAAAAATTGCCGTAAGTATATAATTTCCACACGCATAGATGAATAACTTCAGTGGGACTCATTTGCCTAAGATACGTTGTGAATACCTAAGCTATCATCAAACACCTTCTGAGTATGCATGACATAGATCTCTCTGCTCATTACACTAGCATCATCAGACGGAGAAATCAACACATCCCAACATAATAAATTTATCTTCTATTTGTCATTTAAGTACTAGTTAAGGAGCCAGTGCTATTCTGCACACACAGTTCCTAGTGTTGGTAAAACTATTAATAACAAACATATCAGAGTAAGAGAAATATATATATATCCTTGAAAACCGCACAGCATTTTTCAAACAAATTAAGTAGAAAAATTCTTTGCAAGAAATGGTGAGAAACCAATGAACTTCTACTATTACACCAAAAAAGGCTAAGAAATAAAACAGACCCAAGTGACATCACCCATCCCTTCTAGGACAGTTTTTAAAAGGCATGCGAGATCATTTCATAAAAGTTAAATCTTATGAATAAAAAGTAACACAGAAAATGACACATGTAAAACTGCCCAGAGAAAGTAATTTCCAATAATTTTTGGCAATTAAGGCAGACAAAAGGAGGGGGGAAAGTATCTAATTTGAATGAACACCTTGGCTATTTATCTTGCGATTCCTATAATAACATAAATGTAGTTCTTTCATATAAGCAACTATTCCTGTCCTCCACCTTCTGCAAATTGTAACAGGAAAGTGATGCCTATTATTCACATCTTCGAGTATTTCATTACATATTAGCCTCAAAAGCTCAACCCTTGCAAACACTTCATATTTACATTAAATATAAATTATTCTAATTTTATATTTAAATTAAATTACTTATTTCAGAGGAACTATTTATAAGAACAATAGCATGCAGATTTAGCTGCTGGTTTGTGTTAGTGATGTTGTAACTGTAACAGCTGAGATACTAAAACTCTTGGCATTTTTTGTGTTTGTTGTTCTGGCGTTTTGCTTGTTTGGTTTTTTAAATTACCATTTTTCGCTATAAACTGCAGAAATAAGAAACTTTAAAGCAGTTTCTCTCACCCTTTCATTGAACACAATGCAATGAAAACTAGAGCTCAAGTAACTACTGAAACACTCGTTTATTTCAGCATTTGTATTATATTTAAATGGAACAGAAGGGTATGATCATCCTCCAAATACTTCAGAAGTTAAAGCAACAAAATGTTTAGAGGAAAAAACCTCACACAGCGTCCAATTCAGGTATTACAAAAAGTAATTAATCTAACAGAATTGTTAAGAAAGAATACACAGGAGGTCCAGAAAAGAGCACAGAGAAGTCTAATTCAATAAGGAAAAAGCCATACCAAGAAATACCATGAAATAACTCTTTAAGGCAGTTTTCACAGAACAAAATACCTATGCCTAACTGTGGCATTAAGTGAGACAACGTAATACTTGGCTTGCTCCAAGCAAGGCTGCTCCACTAAAACAACCTACACGCCAACAGGCGCTGAAGCCCCCAGCTGTATTTCAGACGCACCAGCTGGTCAATCATTAATAAAAAGCTATGCTTTTCAAGGCGGTCTAAGTTCAGATGCTACTATTTTGGTTTCTGCAGTCCTGTATTCTTCTAGCTAGCTTCTGACCGAACACTTTGAACTTTTAAACAAGTAGCATCTGAGAGCAATTATAAGGCCAACGTCACTCCCACCATCAACAGCAGAAGCTGAAGAAATACACTGAAATTGGCTCGCGAGAAGTACAAGAACTTTTTAGGTACCTGTAACTAAAAAGGACTTCGCAGAAGTCAGCAACACTGACACTGAAACACCATTCACATCCACTAAGGGACGGAATTTAACGAGCGACTGAAGTCAGCGCCCATTTCCCGAACAAAGGGCTCCACGCAGAGACAAGAGAG